GTGCGGGACCGGGCCGAGCCGAGCTGCGGCCTGCGGAGGTTAAATCGTGGCTCCCCGGGACGAGGTTCCTCCGGAGGGAAGGGGCGGAGGGCATGTTCCCCGCCACCCTGCGTGGGCAGAGCTCCGGGTGCCGGAGGAGGCGGTGGGACCTCCCCACCGCGGGCTGTGGGAGAGCCGCTCTCGCACTGCTGTGCCATCTCCTGGCCGTGGTGGCACCTCACCCCAACCCCAAAATGTCCCTTAGTGGGGAGAGAGGAGCTCTTTCCGCTGCCGTTTGGCTCCCCGGGTGATTTTATCCAACCCCAAAAACCAACATCAGGCTGCGAGGCGGCCTCAGCCCTCGGCTCGGCCATCCCCTGCCGGGGCGAGAGCCACCCGGTGCCACTGCATACCGCTGGTACGACCGGTCCCTCGGTGTCGGGGTCTGGATAAGGGGCACAGGAGGGTGGGCTGCTCCGGCAGCCCCCAAACCCGTTGCGGTGGGCTGACGGTGTCCTCTGCCGCCCCTTCCCGCTTGGGCACTGCTTTTGCTGGAGTAGGAAGGACATCTAGTGTCCTGGGAAAGCAGAGCAGCACCGCGCTCCCACCGCAGCGAGGGCTGCGTGTCCCCAAGGACCCCCAACCCCGCACCCAGGGCGCTGGTACCGCCACGGCACGGCGCTGGGCGATGGCCAGCGGGTCGGACGGGCCCTTGCCGGGAGGTTTGCCGTCACCGGGATGTCACAACGGCACCGGGAGAGCGGTCGGTCCCACCGGCGTCTCGACCACCTCTGAGTCCCCCATCAACTCTCCGAAGAGGCTTCCGGGGAAATCTGCGCCGTCATTTGTTCCTCCGCGTTAATTAACAGCCTTTCACAGCTGAACAACGCAACTTGTTTTCACTGTACGTCTGTTCCGGGATCCGACTTGGATCCAGCTCTAATCCCCACTAATTAACGAGGGCGGCCAGCTGAGGCCCCGGCTGTTGGCGGCATCCCCGCCGCTGGCACCGCGCCCCATCCTGCGGCCCGCGCTCCCCAGAACCGCCGGGGACGGAGGCGACCATCACCCTGAGCAGGATTTATCCCTTTAATCCCCCCCGGGGTTGGAGCGGCGCACGTGCCGCAGCCGGAAAACGCATCCTACGCTGCTCCCTGTCCCCGGTCCCTCTGCTCCAGGCTCGGGGGACAGCGCGGATGGTGGGGGGTCATCTGCGCCCCACATCTTCTTGGGGGCTCTGTCTTTTTGGGGACGGCCGGGGGTGGGCACTGCCGGGCTTCTCTGCCCTCAGCCTGCGCAGCTCCAGTAGCAAACTGGCCCAGCTCACCCTGGAGCAGATCCTGGAGCATCTGGACAACCTCCGCCTCAACCTGACCAACACCAAACAGAACTGTACGTACACCCCCCGCTCACCCGCCGCGGACCATCCGTCGCCGTGAGGTTCCCCTCCCGGTCCCGCCGGGGCAACTGGGATGCTCTCTGGGATACTGGGAGCTCCTCGCCAAGCCCTCCACACGGTCTGGGGTGGTGGTGGTGGGGTTCCCCTGATGTGGGGGGGAGGTCTCTAACTCCCGTTTTTGCCGTTTCCTCGACAGTTTTCAGCCAAACCCCGATCCTACAGGCGCTGCAGCACGTCCAGGCCAGCTGCGACGAAGCCCACAAGATGAAGTGAGTGGGTCCGGAGGTGACCCGGGGACCGCGGTGGGA